GGCATTCCTCTTCCTGATTTGAAGCTTTGCGGGTGCAGGGCTACTACCGAGTCCTTCGTGGTTGAAGGAGAGCCTTCATATCCCCGTGGCTGTGTTCTCCTCCAAAGTCCACTTCCTGCCAAGGTTCTGAGCCAACAGAGTAGAGGGAGAACCGTACTTTCTAAAAAGTCCCATGAAAAAGGACAGATACATATTTAATGACGAGTAAGGGAAGAATTCGTTTTGGGGTTGGTTGACACAGAGCCTACTAAGCGAGTACCCAGTCTGAGCATCTGCGAGTTACTTTAGGAGCCCATGTGCAGGCTCTTCCGGGCTCACATCCTCGTGCAGGGCCTCGGAGCGCCTGCTGAAGCACTAGGAACTGTACGTGGCTTGTTTTCCTAGAGAACTTTCAGAATTATCTCAGAATTGGACATATCTATTAGGTTCTGAAAAACAAAACAGGGCTCAGGAAAATCTAATAATAAAGGCCCATAAAATGTAAACATTTTACTAATAAAAATTTAAAAAGACTCACCCACAATGACCACGTCGAGATTCCCCGGGAGGCAGTGGGACACGTGATGCCAGCAGCACTTCTGTGTAAAAGTGGAAACTAACCCTGTGGAGGACAAGGCCTGAGCGAGGAGCCCCGGTCTCACTGACACTCGCTTTCTGATACGTTTGGTCTTCACTAATCCATTCGCAGAATGGGTGGGAACTTCTTTCTAAAAGTGGTACTTGGACGACTTACAGTTGCCACGTCCACTTGAGCGCCTGAGGCTCTCAGTGTGGGGTAATCTCGTGTGTGATGCAGATGGATTTGAATTCGCAAAGATCCTCGCTGCTTTTGCAAAGACGAGTAAGTGTGATGAAGAGGGGCTCCCGGTTGTGGCTTCAGCGTGCGTGTACGTGAAGCAGGCAGAGCACACTCGCTCCACGCTCCTCTCACGCAATAAATGACGGACCCCGCACTTGCTGTTGAGAGGAGGAGTTCACCATGCCATTCGGGGAAGGGCATTCTCAGAGTCAGGTGTCTCGTTCCCGTCTCTGAATTCACTTAGGCCTGCTTCATTTTTCTGAGTTCTGGAAGATCCACGAGAGTTAGTGGGAATTAGCCGCAAACCCTCACCTAGGCGGGGCCTTCTGGTCAGCCACAGCTTCGGATAATCGCGCCGACCTGCCTGCTGTCTCGGTCCTCCCGGGCACTGCGGCAAGAACCCTGGCGCTCAGTGGGCTGGTCATCAGAATCTGTACCATGGGGTGAGGACAGAGGAGGAAAGGGAGAGACTGCTTCAGTAAAAAGCCGCGGGGAGAGCCGGGGAGAGCAAGGCGCCCAGGCCACGGCCGCGGGCCGGGAGGCAGCAGGGTGGTGCAGAGGTGAGTGGGCCAGCAGAGGGAGAGGAGGCCGGGCGTGGATCGCTGTCCTTCCTCGGTCGGACCACCTGCCGCGGTGACGCCCTCTGAGTGCTGAGCTAATCACCTGCCGCGGTGACGCCCTCTGAGTGCTGAGCTAATCTTGTTGTTGCCTTCACTGTCTCCAGCGGACTCCACGGGAACGCACTCCCTCTACACCACGTACAAGGACTACGAGCTCATGTTCCACGTGTCCACCCTGCTCCCCTACATGCCCAGCAACAGGCAGCAGGTACGTCCTGGCCTCCCGGCCCTGCCCGCGTCCACAGGGGCCGCAGCCACGTCTTGGCTGGCACTCACTCTTCACTCTTATGTGCAAGGAGCGGGGCTTTGAAGGGACTCTACGGCACCTTTTCCTCATAGAACTCACCTTTAAGGCTTAAGGCGAAGTCAGGAGAAACCTGTGTCAGCCGGTTCTGAGTAGAAAGGCCAACTAGGGACCAGCAGTTGGTGTATTGGCTATGCTGCTGGACTCCCATGTTGCTGACTGTGGTTTGAGTCCTGGACCCGGTGACTTAAACTCACATCGGGTGTGTGTGCATGCATGCCCAAGATCCGAGAGGAGAATGGAGGAGAAGGGATTGCGGCGTGGCCATCCCCCTGCCGGATGATTTCTTGCTTTCTGTCTGTCTGTCTCTGTCTTTCTGGTGAGCGTACACGCCCTATAGCAAAAACCTCTCAAAAAGAAATAAAAAGGGCCACCTTTTTATTTCTGACCTGACTCGGGTTTCTGCAGGTGAGTAAAACAGCTTATTTATAGAAAGTGACATGTGTAGTTGTTACTGGTGCCATTTCCAACTGTTCTTCCTCATGAATTATCATTGTTTTTTGTTTATTAATCTATTTATTTAATGAGCGAGCGAGAGACAGAGCCGAGGCGTCTCACGGGGTCTCAGCATACAGTGGTCCTCCTGCCCCGGCGTCCCTGAAGCTAGAGCCTCAGGTGTGTGGCCCCACCCCGGCCCGTTTTCAGGCTGGGCTGGGAGCTCCTATGCGACCTCAGCCCCACACAGGGACACCCCTCACCTGGGCCACTGCGGCTGACCAGTTCTCATGGTTTTAATTGGCTCTACTAGCCAAAATGTCTTGACCTTTCTAGAGGAAAAGGTAGGAGTGTCCACCACACCTTGAATGTAGCCACTCACCCAGAATTAAACTTTGAAAACTTGATGGTACCTAAGATGTCATATAGCCGTCTGTGCACCTCTCTTGGTATCCCTGTAACACGAAGTTCTGTGCACTTGGTCACATCGCATTCTTTCTGACAGACACCAGCCATACAGCCGCCTGCCTCCCTTCCCCCACCACTAGCTGCAGGGAACATCAGAGGTCCCGGGGCCGGGGTGGGAGGCAGCCCCGCCTGGCCCTGCACCAGGGACAGAGGCTCCTGTTTTCATCGCTGTGCTCCTGGTAACTGCTCGCTGGGTTTTCTCACTGTTTCTGCCTACTTCTCACCTCCATCCCTTGCTCTTCCTCAATTTTCTAGTGTTTTCTAGGAATAACTGTAACTAGCACCACCTTCAGAAAATGTGGCTTTAGGTGACCCATCCGTGCACTTCCTGTGAGCCGAGTTGCAGTCGTAGATCACGTGTGTCTTTCTGTATGCTTTCACAGAAGGGTGTCTGGCTCTTAGGGCTTCTGTTTGCAGTGACGCTGAGCAGATTCGCTGGGTATTAAGAAGCTTAATTTAGACGAGGCCAGTTGCCCAGCAGATGCCTGTGAATCATTCAGTAATTAAATTCCATGGGAGCTGTTGCTCAGAGACTGATGGGGCTTACTCAGGCCAAGAAGATCTGTCAGTTCTCGGCCAGAAATAGAGCCGCGACCTCTGGCCCCGCTGTCGAGCATGCAGGCCGCAAAGCCCTCGCTGCTCCCGATCACTCGAGTCCTGGACGCCCACCCGAGTTGCCCGGCTTTTCTCGCGTGGCACTTTCTAGAGCGTCGAGGTCTTTACTGTTACAGAACGCAGCACTGGCTCCCTGCCCTCTTCCCTCATGTGGTCATCAGCACCTGTGGGTTCGGATCTCTCCACAGTGAACTCTGTCACACTGTAGCTGTCCTTGAAATTTGGCACGAGACCTTGGAGCGACAGGAAGTGGAAGCGTAGTGGGTGTGGGCGTGGACGTAGGTGGGCCTTCCACTGTGTGTGGTTTCACTTTATTTCCTCCATGGAATGAGAGAGAGCGAGAGGGAGGACAGTACCCACCAGGTCTTCACGCCTCACCCACCCAGTCTCAGCCAGCCTGGATCATGGGCATACACCCCCGGCGTGGACAGGGAGGCCCTGGGACACGAGCCATGGACTCCCCACGTGGGGACAGCTGCATTATTAACGTGCCACGACTCGGCCCCTGTGGGAATGCTTGAACTTTCCAAACTAGAGATAAAATGGAAAATTCCTGTAAATTGAGATGAGACACTGCAAGCGTCTCTGCTAAGACCCGTTTAGTTAGCTTTCTCTCTATCTAACTTGAGCGCCCGTGACAGTGTGTCAGTGTGCCGACCGTTCGTGTTAGAAAACAGTGAAAGCTGTGTGTTCATCTGGGCTGGGCGTGGCCCCGTCTGTGGTGTGCTGAGCCCCACAGTGTGTGCGGGTGAGCGGGAGAGGAAGGCCATGGCCGACAGCGCAGGACAGTGTACCATCGAAGCCTGAGCCCCTCGTGGTCCCTCACTTCTCTGGGCCTTGGGGAAGCTTCTTAGGCTCCCGAATTTGGTTACGTAAGGAGGACATATCCTGTCAACCTGGAAGGAGGCTGCAGCAAAGGAAGGAAAGCAAACATTTCCCAAAACCCAGGCTTACGTCCTTGCCCAGGGTTCGCGGACTGCAGTTGCCTAGAAGGTGCGCCAAGGCCGGGACCCACTGGCTGTCCGCCATCCTCCACACGTGAATCCTGGGAGCTCTGCAGTGAGGAACGTGGGCACGGGCTGTCCACCTGTGACCTGTGTGCTGTCAGTTTCTTTATTGTAAAGAAAGTCACACCCGTAGGCTGGACCCCAGCGGGTGGGGTATAGCCGAGGCCCTGCTCACACCCTCCGGGGTTTAGCAGCTGTCACGTTCCATGGACTGCCCCGCTTTTCCTCCTTGGTCTTGGCAGCCCTGGGAGCCGTCTGCAGCCCTGCAGTGAGGGGAGAACAGGGAGCACCAGCGGCCCCGACGGGCGTGCTGTACCTTAGGATCTTCCGTGCGGTTGGCATGGGATGGGGCACGCATGAGCATGGCTGGACTGGCTGACCCGTGACGTCTGCCTCAGGTGTGGCATTCGGTGATTCCAGGGCCTCCTGTGAGGCTGCCCCTTCCCGGGCGGGAAGGGCGTGAGCGGAAGAGTGCAGCTTTGCAGGGAGGGTTGGGCTCCGCCGCTGGGTGGAGAGCCCCACTGTCGGCTCTGTGCCGTGAGCAGGCGTCCCAGTGCTTCGATCCCTTTGTCCCTAAAGGTAGGGCCTGTGTCTGCTGTGTTCACCGGCCTGTCCTAGAGCGTGGCGAGCCATCACAGACGCTCGCTGAATGAGTAATGGAGGGAGGAGGCCACCGCAGGTGGCAGTGTGAGAGCTGGGCGAGTCAGTCCGTGTTAAGCCCTAGCACGGAGCCAGGCCTGGAGGGCCGCAGTCTGCTCTGGTGCTCATCTGGCGTGACGCACCAGCTGTGGGGCTCCAGCAGTGTAGATGGTGTCATTTGCGTTTTATCTTCCTGTTCTCGATCCTGAAGGTCTTTTGTGGAAAGCTAAGGCCTCAATGGTCAACAAGAGGCTGAATTCATCGGTAACTTCAGAGAGTTTTCCCCTCCTTTGGCACTTGATAAAATGTCCTGCTAACCGGGAGTTGGTATTGGGATGTTTACAGATAAGCGCTGCCACTTTGCCGTCTCGGGTCACGTCCTTTCCAATCGTGCGGCCTATCCTGACTCTGCTTCTCTGACCTCCACCCAGCCCCACGAGTGGTGTCCACACCACAGGCAGCAATGTCTGAGGTGACAGCAGGGCCGCGCGTGCTCGGAGCCCACAGGGCCTGGTGGAGCTGACGGGCCTGAGCAGGAGCCATGCTGGGACCCTGGCCTCTGCACCGCGGAGCTCGGCTCCTGATCGGGCCCAGGCGCATCTGCATCAGATCCGTTGCTCGTGTTTATTCTCGTAATAAATCAAGCGGGAAGCTGACTCCCAGCTGTGTTAGGAATCTTGAGAGAGTTCCCCATCTGTGAGAGGAGTTTAACCCCTGGAAAGTCTCCCACTTGACAGGGAGAGCCCAGCCAGGTTCGGGAGCTGTGCGCCACCCCTGCAGTGGTTAGCTGCCCACAGTCAGCCTGCACCGGGGCCTGGCGGGCACGTCAGCCGCCCGGGCCTCTTCTTGTGGGCTTCTCCTCTGCTTGCCTTTAGACAGACCGTGGTTACATCACCATGGGATGTCAGTGGAAAGAATTTGCAATTTAGCTTTAAACTTGATGTTGGCAAGAAAGCCGTCCTTCAGACTAGGTGTACGAGACAGGCGCCGTTGTGCCCGGTACTTAAAAGCCTTTCCTTCTTTGGTGCATGTTTAAGGTTTGAGCTGCTCTGGTTGGAAGGGGTGTCGGGGCCCTGGAGAGCCCTAAGGAGCAGGACGGAGGCCAAGCTTCCTGAGATTCCAGGTGAGGGATGCTGGGATTCTGTGAGCGACTTGGCACCACAGAGGGGACTAAGGCGTGGCTCGCTATGTGTGGGCCAGACCTGAGTCCCTGGTCTACGTTAGACTCCTGGTAAGCCTTGCCCTGAAAGGGCTTGTGGACTTCCCTAAGTCCCTAACTGCTGCTCTCAGGGACCGCCTAAACCCTGGGCAGTCGGCCACGTTAAGTGCAGGGTGGGCAGTAGCTGGATTCCCAGCCCCTAAGAAGGAATGTGCACTCGCACCAGAGGGGCCGGCTACTGCCCAGAACGAGGCTTGCTCTGCCCAGTGTTGGGGGGCGGGGTGCTCGTATCTTCATAATCCTGTTCTCATCCTTACCTGGTGGGAGGCCGTTACAAAGCCATCTCCCTAAATTACTTCTGTTCCTCCATCTGCAACGTACCCAGCATCATTTAGCTGCTTTCTACATTTATTCTTGCTATCCATACATGAGGGTATGAAATGGTGAGTCAGAGAGATTCTTGAAGCATTCATTAAGCTTAGTATTATCCTTCTGCTAATCTGGGGTAAGAACGGTTAGCTATCATTTGCTTTTTTCAGCGAGAGGACAAGGCTTTCCTTCCGGAAGTGTAGGTCTCGTGTATTTAGGTGGTAACGTGTGTAGTTAGTCTCCCTTCATGTTACCCAGGGTGCTGTTCTATCTTTACCACCCCCAAGTTTTTCTATAGGGCACTCTGGGTATCTTTTAATATCATGGCAAACCTCTAAGCAGTTGTTAGTATTCTTGAGCTTAGAACCTACAAGGGTGTGTGTGTGTGTGCAACGTACCCAGCATCATTTAGCTGCTTTCTACATTTATTCTTGCTATCCATACATGAGGGTATGAAATGGTGAGTCAGAGAGATTCTTGAAGCATTCATTAAGCTTAGTATTATCCTTCTGCTAATCTGGGGTAAGAACGGTTAGCTATCATTTGCTTTTTTCAGCGAGAGGACAAGGCTTTCCTTCCGGAAGTGTAGGTCTCGTGTATTTAGGTGGTAACGTGTGTAGTTAGTCTCCCTTCATGTTACCCAGGGTGCTGTTCTATCTTTACCACCCCCAAGTTTTTCTATAGGGCACTCTGGGTATCTTTTAATATCATGGCAAACCTCTAAGCAGTTGTTAGTATTCTTGAGCTTAGAACCTACAAGGGTGTGTGTGTGTGTGTGTGTGTGTGTGTGTGCACGCGCTTGCGTGTATGTGTAGAAAATTAGTATGGTCTCAGCACCGGAGGAGAAACCAGCCCTCTGAGAAGTGGGTGCTTGCCCAGCAAGGGTCCTGCAAGGATAGAGCACCTTGCCAAGTAGCTTGCCGGAGGGGCTCAGAGGCCTTCGAGAAGGTAGGGGCCCGTGATGAGGTTGGGGAGGGAGAGAGGGAGTCTGTACCAGCCATGCTCATGTTGATGGGGTTAGATTCAGGCCCAGGGACCAGGATTAAGAACTTGTGAGGCTTTTTCCTGGGACGAGGACGGCAGAGCTGAGGAGGGCTGCTGCTTCGGCTTCAAACCATCTTTACCTTTGTTGACTGTTAGAAGCTTCTTCTGAGCCGCGTTCCTGCTGCCTGTCTTTCCTCATGTGCAGCCTGTCTGCCCCAGACCTAGGTGCAGAATGCCTTGTTTCTTTCTTACTGGGTTACAGGGGAAAGAGAAAAAAAAAAAAAAAAAAAATTAAAGAACGAGCCCATTTACCCAG